TTGTGTATTCTTTCGCTATCCCTATCGCCGCTGGATCGCCCCTCCTCATGAACCAAACACTCGTGACAACTATGTCGAGGGAAAACCCCGACAATAGAGGATGTATTAATGGAGTTGGAATAGAGTGAGTGACAGAAAAGTAATGCTTACAATTTTACTGAAACAAAAACAATTAATCAAGAAAGATATGGTTTCCTAAGATCTACAGAAGTGATCAATTCCCAGAAAAGTTAACAGCCAAGAAAGCTTTATGAGGGCAGTTGTCCACTGTCACATGGGATTGCTATGGGTTGAAAATCGCCTGGATATCACTCCACAACAATAGAAGTTAAGGGGATCTTTACAGTGGCTGACTGAAGTCTATTATTTACAATGACCTGACTATAACTTCGATGCATATTATCTTTATATCCTGGTACACACCCAGATAATGTGGACACAGATACCTTAATGTAATTGATGGCTTAATTCTAGAACTTACATAAGGGATTCCAAAGAGATTGAATTCTAGCATGCCAATGATTGACATATGCATATCTCTCCAACGTGAAAAGTTATCACCCAGCCAATGGCCAGTGTATTTTCCACTTCCAACAAATGTAGAACGACTCAAAACAAAGGCTCGCTTTCTTGTAACATTCTGAGAAGCACTGGAGAAAACACAAGAAATTCATTCTTCAATATTATTCTGAAAAAACCTTATATTTTACTTTTTCTTAACAAAATAATAGTTTAAAAGTATGGTTTTAAACATACTCAGCATTAACATTATTCCCAGATTTCCTAATACTCATACAATTAAAATATTTTACCAAACATGTAAATCTTTATGAAATGGAGGATATGAAACCAGTAAAAAAAGAAGTCATCATATGTAAATTATGATACACATTTTAAGAAAAAGTTGAAAAGCCAATGTTAAGCATCCAAACCAAATTTTCTTACATTGGACTCTTTTTGAGTCATATAGAGTTTCTTAACCATGGCTTAATGTTAGAAATGCATGAGAAGGTTAATAAAATAATACTATGACTGACAAGACTCCATTCCAGATCAATTAACTCAGAACATCTAGGGATTAGACCCTGACATCAGCATTTTAAAAAAAAAATCTGATTTTAATATATGCATGGTGGCTTTTATACTAATGTTTGAATAATTGATTGCATTTCCTTAGTGAAACCTTGTATAAATATGTGCAGTGCAGTTAATTACTTCATATGACTTTTTCACCCATGTTGTTGTTAGGTGCTGTCACATAGGTTACAACCCATAGTTACCCAATGTACACCAGAATGAAACGCTGTCAGTCCTGCACCTCTTTCACAAGTGCTGCTATGCTTGAGCCCACTGTGCCAATCCATCTCATTGGGGGTCTCTCTCTTTTTTGCTGACCCTCTGCTTTACCAAACATGATGTCCTTCTCCAGGGACTGGTACCTCCTAATAATATGTCTGAAGTATGAGAGATGAAATCTTATCATCTTGGCTTCTAAGGAGCATTCTGGTTGTACTTGCAACATAGATTTGTTTGTTCTTCTGGCAGTGTACAGTACCTTTTATATGCTTCTCTAACACCACAACTCAAATGCATGAATCATTCTACAGTCTTCTTTATTCATTGTCCACTTTTCTCATGCATATGAGGCTATTGGAAATATCATGGCATTCTACCTATAGACTTTGCAATTCCCACCAAATTACTTTTTTTTTTCCTGATGAGAAGATGGGGGAAGATGCTTATACGATTATATGATTCAGTTGTGAATCATTGTTAGCAGGGTTAATTGTGATGGCAAAACTTGGAACTCTAATGTGGGTTTTAAATGATCCTTCTCTCTAATTCCTGGGGACTAGGGCTGAGTTTGAAGCAGCCAGCTGGTCTGAAGTGCAGGGAGGTGTGTATGAAATCCCAAACTGCATCTAGTACCCATTTGACCTAAATTGGATGGCTAATTGACCAGAACTGGACCCGAGGAAGATAAAGATGTTTAATGCTATGAACAGTGCAAATTACTACAATTTGATGAACTAGACTTTTGTTCATGGATGCAGTGGTGCAAAATTCCAAATGGAGTGGAAAGATTCTTGTTTCCTCAGTGTACTGGGTTGATAGGGATGAGAAATGTAGACATTGACTATCAAAAATGGGGGAGATATAAAGGTATTAAGTGGCATACTTACAAGCTTTCATGAATGTGCTTAGTTTCAGAATGAGGGGGGATAAAGTAGAATATGCACTGAATAGTTTCCCTCTTTTCCAGATCTGGTGAAAGGGGTTAGAGGATGATGGGGATAGGATCTTATGACTCAGTTGTGAATAATTGTTAGCCGGATTAATTGTGTTTATCACAACTGTAATTGTAGAAGATGAGTAACTAAAAAGAGGGAGTAGTTAATCTTCCATTTCAGGGGCAGATGATCCCAGGGAGAGCATAATTGGAATGTGAGATCCCTACCTAGAAAAGTGGCAACAGCAGAGATAGTGGCAGAGGCAGTGGCATGGAGAAACAAAGCAGCTGCAGGCTTCTCAGCCCAGGGACTGAGAAAGGCTGTGTGCTTGTGGGCAGGAGGCTGGCTGGCAGAAGGTGCCCTTTGGACATTTAAATGAGTACATATATTTGGCTTTGTATGTATACATCAAATACTTTTGCCTTGTTCATTTGTGAAATATAAGATGTAAATGGGGAGCCACAGGGAAGAAGTAGGAGAACTGTTGTTACAGGGAGGGGGTTGCTATCATTGAGATAAAACAAAGTGTATGTTTTGTTGAATGTAAAGCTGATGATCTTGTCTGTAAACCTTCACACAATTCACAATAAAAAGTAAAAAAAAAAAAGATCCTTCTCAGAAGTAGGAAGGATGATCTCAGTATCATCAAGGAAGAGAAAGGAATGGAGTACATCCTTTGGACCTCTGCATATTGAAGTTCCTCTACCTAGGAAGAATGTTATGACACTGTGAGAATAGCAAAGGATGGAGGAAGAGAAACAGCAGCAGAATCAAAAGTCAGGGTATAAGACAGAGTGGAAAGTTTCCCAGCCCTCAAAGGAAGTGAAATGGGGTGTCACTTGTAAAATGGGGTGTCTCCACAGGCACTTCAGCCTCAGAAACCCTGTACAGGGTCACTATGAGTTGGAACCAACTCCACGGCAAATAACCACCACCACCACAGGCACTTAGTCGGGGAGCAAGGTTTGCTGGCCTTTGGAGCAAGAACTTAGTGAGGTTTATAGCAGATGGAGTGTCCTTTGGGTATATATCAGCAGCCCTAAAAGAGTTTTTAACATTGCTGAGCAGGGCAGAGGCCAGGCAAATGGGCCAAGGTCCAGAGAGAGTTCTGCTTGTGGGCAAAGCTTAGGAGAAGTTATCCTGACTGAAAGAACAGTCCCCTGTGCATTCATTTGTTGGTGCTGTATTGTAACCTGTTAAGTTTCCTAATCAACTCCATACTGTGAGTAAGGTGTCTGAGTTCTGTATGTGTGGTCATCGCAACAAATTATCAAGCCCAATTAGGTAAAGAGTGCTATGGGAAGAAAAGGTAGATGCTTTTTTTTTTTTCTTTTTTTTCTTTTTGCAGTATGAAGAATACTATTTGGGGAGTTTTACACAGCATTTTTATTATATATATACATATATGTGTGTGTATATATATATATATATATTGCTTTAGTCATTCTTTACTTTGAATTTAGCTTATATAGTTAAACATTTTCAAAATCAAACCTAAAAATCAAGAATAAACTGGAATGAGCATTGCTATCATACAGATCTAATTTGAACTCTATCTTGTTCTTTCATGAATGTTCCTAAAATGGAGCTAATAATACTTAACAGTGTTGTTGTGAAGTTTATATGAAAAGTAATATAAAATTGCTTTTCACAGCAGCTAGCAGAGGGCAAGTGCTCAGTGAAGGCTGATATGTCTCTACATTGTAAACGGTGCTAAGCAATTACAGCGTAATGTCTGCTTCACCTTAGTTAGAGAACTTGAATCTGAGTTTTAGCCATTATTTACTCAGAAATCTAAGACCAATCATTTTGTCTCTCAAGGGTGAAATAATGAGGAGGAAAATTGAATTGTTAGATTAAATTGAAAGATAGCAGCTCTAATAAATTCAATAAACACTCATATTACTTATCAAGGTGAATCCTGATAATTCTTAGCACATAAAACTGCTTTTATTTCTTCTTGGAAGTAATTTTCAATGTTTGAGTTTCATTAAGTTTAGAATTTGGAATTCATGTTCACTTTATCCCTGAAATATTACAATCTTCAAAAATATATCTATTACCACTAAAGAGGAATACACATCTAAATCTTCTCCTCCTTCTTCTAGTTCTGCCTTTTTGTTCTCCCCCTTCTTTTCCTCTTGTTCCTCTTTCTCTTTTTTCTAGAAGAACCCAAACTCTTTTATAAGGTGCACTGATAGAAGAAAGGTTACACACTCGGTTGCTAACAAAAAGATTGGCAGTTTGAACCCACCTAGCAGTTCTGTGGGCGAAAGGCCTAGCGATCTTCTTCCATAAAGATTGGTGATAGTGGTGGTGGTGGTTGCAGCCTAGTAAACACTATGGGCCAGTTGTATCCTGTCACATAGGATCACTATGAGTCAGAATTCAATCACACCCAACAATGAGTTCCTTCATGAGTTAGAAACAATATGCAGGTTTTAGGTAGCATAGTGGACTCCTGGTATGATGCTGTAGGATAAGCATTGAACTGCTAACCACAAGGTCAGTGGTTCAATCCCACCAGCTATACCTTGGAAATCCTATGTAGGGTCGCTGTGAATCAGAAGCTATTTGACAGCACTTAACAACAACTAGAATGAGTGGTAAATCCTCAAAGAACTGATTCTTTGCCCCTTTAATTGTTGTTGCTGTTGAGCGCTGTCGTGTTGGTTCTGACTGATAGCCACCCTGTATAGGGTTTCTGAAGAGCACCTGTCTCTTTAACAGATAGCAAGTATTGATATAAGGAGCCATGATATTGTAGTGGGTTATGCGTTGGGCTACTAATGATAAAGTCAGTGTTTTGAATCCACCAGCCATTTTGCAGGAGAAAGGTGAGGACTTTTGTTCACTTAAAGATGTACAGCCTCAGAAACCCTGTACAAGATCATTGAGTTGGAACTGACTGCAGAAGCAGATATTGGTATGACTTATTAAATTAAGAAAAATAAACTTCAAAGATTTTTGCACCAGTTAATAACTTCTCTGCTTTATAGCAGTGACATATAATCCTATTTTATTTATGATGTGTTATTTTTATATTTTTAAGTAACTTCTTTTCTACTGGCACAAAGGTAAGTTGTTGACAGATAAACTTAATTAGCCATATTTTTAAAAATATATTTTCAGAATTTTGTCTATCAAGTTTACTACTTAGTTTATTCTTTTTTTTTTTTTTCAGTGAAATCAAAACCAAAGAAGTTTTCAATGGTAGCTAGAAAAGAGCCTGATTGAATGGCCCTTAACATTCTTCTTCAGCTCTGAAATTCGCTGTCATGTTCACCAAACAAATTTAATTAAGTTTTCTGAACTCATAGCTCTAGAAAAGTGATTCTACTCTGGGATATAAAATTGGAATATATTTGTATATGACCAAAATAATAAGTTCTATTTTGGTCTCCATATCTCTCAACCGGTATTTTTGAGAGCTGGCATAGATCAAACAAGTTTATCCTGTCAGAGTCTTACATGTTTTGCCCATATTTATTACAACTTGTTAAAATACCCAAACTGAATTTCAATAGAAGTTTAGCCAGACAAGGATGAAGTACATGGAAACACAGTGTTCTATTTCTGAGCCCATAAACCTAATTCTACTAATGCAAGCATTGAGAATCTCTGGACAGACACACAAAGGAAAAGACAGAAACAGAGTAACACAGCAAACCGTCGCCTAGGTGTGTGCTATCAGTCAGATAGTCACTGAGAGGGTATTACAAGACCTGGTGGTATTGATTCCAGGAGGAAAGAGGCTTAGTCATTTAATTGCTCTTAAATGGTGGAGACTTAGCTTCTGTTAAGTGCTGTTGAGTCAGTTTTGACTCATAGCGACCCTGTATAGGGTTTCTGAGAAGAGGCTTTGGAGTTTGAACTGCTAGCCTTGTAGTTCTAGCCAAAATTACAGAATTAATAATTATTTATAAATAATTCTGCCCTATATTATAAAATTGATCCAAAATTGTTTATTCTAATAATTTTAGCTTTATTTTCTTAATTTTTCTGCCTATGCTAAGGCCATTCGACCCTACTTTTGTGATAGTGCAACTGGTTACTGGAAGTACTTGTAAATTCAATAACATGACATGAATTTACAAGTATTTTTAACAACCAGATATGACGACCAAAAATATTCTCATTTGATGAAATGAAAGTAATATATCATCAATAAACTTTAGAAAAGGAAGATTATTTACTAGTATTTGAAAAATTAAGAAATATTATAATAAAATATAACATCTACTTTAAAAATATTTTCCTATTTCTTAAAAGATATTTTAAAAATAATTTGAAGATATTAAAACAAATATTTCAAGACTGACAAAATACTCACTAAAAAGTAGATTTTGCTTGTGACCAGCCAAATAGAGAATGGGTATCATAATGGTCTCCCAGAAAAGTCTTTGAATCAGGACATAATGTTTTCTCAGCCAAAATTCCATCAGTGATATCTAAGGATGAAATAAAATAAACATGCATTCTTAATATAACTTAGATATTATATTTTATTTTTCTGTTAACATTTTGGTCACCCTGATTAACATACGAGCTTCTTAAGGACATGGAATGTTTTTACAGTTAGTGACAGCATTGTTACGTTTACATAACAAAAAAGAAAATTAATTGCATTTTGAATTTGTGAGGCATAGAAGACTCTTAATATCAAGATCAAATTTGGACTATCTCAGAAATATGAAGTTAATTTAAGATAAAAAATTCACTTAGTATAATTCATATCTCAAAAAGAAGACGTATATAGTACAATTTACCCCTGGAATATGAACATTTGATGATATATTTGCCTATTAATATTATGTAAATATGCCTTCACTTTGAAATGACTGAACCATCCCCTGGTGGTGGTGGTGGTGGTGGGTGTATGCTGTCAAGTCAGTTCCAATTCACAGTGACCCTGGAGAGAGGGTTTCTGAGGCTGTAAATCTTTATGGGAGTAAAATGCTCATCTTTCTCTATCAGAGGAGTTGGTAGAATCAAACTTCTAATCTTGCAGTTAGCAACCCAATACATCACCATCCAGAGCTCTTTGAACCAATCCCTACTCATAACAAATTCTTCATCACCATCACATTCACCTATGCAACGTTTAAATCATTGACCAAGCATTGAGTCTTTTCCTACACTAACTTAAGGTTAAATAAGATCAGTATGCACTTATTCTGACTTATAAATTTGACTAAAAACACACTTAATAAGTAATCTCAATTGTAACCCAGGACTGCTTGTAATCTCAGTTGTTGTTGTTAAGTACCATTGAGTCAGTTTAGACTCATAGCTCCTCATAGGGTTTCCAATGAAAAGCCAGTGGGTTTGAACTGCTGACCTTGTAGCTCGCAGTCCAGTGCTGATCCACAGTGCTAAACCAGAAGTCCTGTTATCTCAACAGATGTACAAACATACGGTCTTAACTTTATGAAGGTTTTATATAAAAATAAACACAGCCAATTTCATATCTAATTCTGAAATAGTAGAAGCACTTCATTGACAAAGGGGATAAGAAGGGTGTGTGCTATCACCATTTCTGTTCAGTCCTATATCATTCTCATCCAGTGCAATAAGATAAGAAAAAGAAATGAAAGAACAATTAGAATGGAGGTATCAGTGCTATGACTATTTTCACATGCTGATTATCTACTTAGAAAATCTTAAATAATAAACAGATAAATTATAAGAATTAATATGACAGTATAACTTGGTCTGTGTTGGAAGAAGTGCAGCCAGAGTGCTCCTTGGAGACGAAGATGGCCAAACTTCATCTCTCATATTTTGGACTCTCCAGGAGGGACCAGTCTCTGGAGAAGGATATCATGTTTGGTAAGGTGGAAGGTCACAGGAAAAGAGGAAGACCTCCAGTGAGATGGATTGGCAAAATGGCAGCATCAATGGGGTCAAGTGTGGCAATAATTGTGAGGTTGACCCAGGACTGGGCAGTGTTTTGTTCTGTTGTGCATAGGGTTGCTATGAGTCAGTACAGACTTGATGGCACCTAACAACAACAACATAGCTCTAGTAGCATAGTGGATTATAAATTGAACTGCTAACCACAAGGTCAGCAGTTCAAATCTTCCAGCCACTCCTCTGGAGAAAGATGATGCTTTCTGCTCCCGTAAAGGTTTATAGCCTCAGAAACTCTATACAAGGTCACTGTCAAACGGAACTGACTACACACTCCACAGCACATAACTACCACCACCACTATAGCAAGTTTCTACCACTCATATGTTAGTATTTTCTACTGTGGTGGCTTGTGTGTTGCTGTGATAATGGAAGCTCTGCCACTGGTATTTCAAACACAAGTAGGTAATCCATAGGTCAGGTTCCACACTAAGAATGACAGAGAAAAAGCATCTGATAATTGACTTGTAAAAAATATGGTGAGTGAAAACCTTATGAATGCAATGGAACATCAATATAGTGCCAGAAAATGATGCCTCATGTTGGAAGGATCTCAAAATATGACTGAAGAAGGGCTGCCTCCTCAAAATAAAGTGGACCTTAATGATATAAACAATGGGCAGCAATGATTGGCTCAAATGTAACAATGACTGTATTATACTGTTCTGCTGTCAATAGGATCAGTATTCATGGGAACCAACTTGACAGCACCTAAAACAACACAGTAAGTTTGCCTGATAAAAAATCATATACAAAACTCAAGCAATTGCATTTGATTAAACAGCAACAGACATTTACAAAAAGGAAATGATTAAAAAGATGGCATTTTAAATATGGGCAGTCCTCAAGGTATGAATGAAGGAGCTCTGGTAGCATAGTGGTTACAAATTGGGCTGCGAACCTTAAGGTCAGCAGTTCAAAACTACCAGCTTCTCCGCGGGAGAAAGATGAGGCTTTCTGCTCCCGTAAAGATTTACAGTCTCGGAAACCCTGTACAGGGTCATTATGGGTCAGAACCGACTTGACAGCACTTAACAACAACAAGAACAAGGTATGAATGAGATCAGTTCCTGTGTCTTTAGGTCTTTAAGTAGAATTTGTTGGTGAGTCTTTTAGTTCTTAAAACCTTGACATCTTTTCAATGATCTAAAAGTTGCACATCCAGTCAGTAAAGGTGATTGTGAGGACGAATTTGTTGTGATTAGAGGTTGTTTCAATCCTTTCAAAGTAAGGGCAAATTTATGTAATGTTAAAGGGCAAGAAGTAGTTTTCCAGTAATTCTCATGTTCATAACCCAAGGAGTGCCTGTGGTATTATATATATATTGTTGTTGTTAAGTGCCATGGAGTTGGTTCAGGCTCACAGCAAATCTGTATACAATGTTGTTAAGTGCCATGGAATTGGTTCAGGCTCACAGCAAATCTGTATAGGATATCTGAGGAGTGGCTGGTGAGTTTGAACTGCTGACCCTGCTATTCAAATGACCTTGGGGTCCAGAACTCATCTTACAGTGTCACACCAGGACTATGTATAATATTGTTGTTCAGTGCCATCCAGTTAGTTACAACTCATAGTGACTCTATGTAGTATTTTAGAGCCTTTAAATATTCAAGGGATCAAAAAGCCTTATCTTTCTCCTGAGAAGCAGCTGGTGGGCTTGAACCACCGACACTGTGGTTCGCAGTCCCATTCTTATCATGTGGAGCCACAGTACTCTCTCTCTTTCTATTATTATTAAGTACCCTGGAGTCAGTTCTGACTCATACCAATCCTATATGGGGCTTCTGAGGAACAGCTGGTGGGTTTGAACTGCTGACCTTCTAATTCGCAGTTCAGTGCTGATCTTATAGCACCACACCAGGAGCTCACACTCTATGTTGTTGTTGTTGTTAAGTGCAATCGAGTTGGTTCCGACCCACAGTGACCCTGTATAGAGTTTCTGAGGAGCAGCTGATGAGCTTGAACTGCTGACCTTGCAGTTCAAATGGCTTTGCAGTCTGGCACATTAACCCACAGTTCAGTAAATTGAAAAGTCCAAACTCAGAGTGCTGGTTCTTGAGGAAGGATTTCTTTCTCTACTAGTTCTAGAAGACGGTCTTTGTGTCCTTTCAACATCTGTGGGCGATTTCCATGTGTTTTGGTATTGACGTTTCCCTGGGTCTAAGAGGTTCTCAGTACAGGGTCCCTAAAAGATACACTTTACTCCCAGCCCTTTTTTCTTGGTAGTACTAGGTCCCTCTTTCTCTACTTTTTGATTTATTCCCTTTTATTTCTCAAAAGAGATTGACTGAAAATACAGCTTAATCCTGTAGATTTTATCTAACCCAACTGACATAATTACCTTTAATTTTGCCTCATTAATGTGAGGATTTATATAACACATAGGATAATTATGTTGTTATTGTTAAGTGTTGTTAAGTGGAGTCAGGTCTAACTCATACCGACCCCATATAGAATTTCCATGGAGCAACTGATGAATTTGAACTGCTGACCTTGTGGTTCAGACTGACTTGTAGTCCCTGAACTACACCAGGAATCCAGCATAATCATATCAAATCTCAAAATGGAGAATAATTATACAATACTGAGAATATTGACCTAGTCAAGTTTGCGGGGGGGGGGGGGGGCAACAAAACATGACTGTACAAAAAAAGGAATTAATATCTCAGCTACTTATGTCAGAAACTCCCTTTCTGGAAAGAGAGAAGTCGACAAGAAGGGACTTCTCCCTCCTAATAAACTCTGGATTGGAATAAAGAAGATAAAATCAAAGTTGAATTTTCATAGCAAGGGAACTCAAAATTAACTGTTTTCTAAAAGCTATTCACAGGTGACATTAGCTCAATTTCTTCTGTTTTTCCATCTCTTTTAGAAGGGAGAAATATATAAGTAGTAAGGAATAGCATATTTATAACATCATTTCAAGTGACTGACAAAAATATTCATCTCTGAAGTGTATTTGAGTTCGATAGTCAAAACAAGATTAATAAGGGAAAATTTACTATATGAAAGACTAGAATTGGAAAAGTAGAGAATAATTCAGAAGATTATTAAAAGGTATACTGTCTAAGGATAGACTCTTTGAAGGACTTGTGAGAAGTCTTTTTTTTTTTTTGTCTCTAAGACTGGAGAAATGTTTGCCTTTGAAAATTATTTTTCTGCATTCCTTGGATTATACAGAGTATCAGTGGGCTCAAGCATGGCAACAATTATGAGGTTGGCCCAGGATAGGGCAGTGTTTCGTTCTGTTTTGGCCTTTGCAATGGAAGAGTTTATGAAGAATGCTTGGTTAGCTGTAATACATGCAACGGAGTCCTTGTGTGCCACTATAGGATAAGTGTTGGATTGCTAAACTGCAAGAGTGGTGGTTCAAATCTACCAAGCACTCCTTGGAAACCCTAGTAGGTCACAACCGACTTGATGGCATTTAACAACAATAACAAGCATATCCAATAGTGGTCCTGCTCTAGATGCATGAACCATGATGTCCCTAATATTCCAACAAGCCAGTTGAATTCTAGAATCAACTTGTCTGCAA